ATGGTACAAGAATCATAGTCACCTTAGTTTTTGTTTCAAGCTCATTGATACACAACATAACTAACTATCACGTCAATTTCGTATGTATGAACAAGAGAAAATAGATTAAGGGCAACAATACACAAAATTCAAAAAAATTAGGGCAAATATACAAAATTGAACCCTTGCCAAATTAACTAAAAAATTATGAATACAAGACTTTGTTTGGACTCCACATTCAACATATAAATACACACATACACAATACTTCAAATTTCGCCCGGAAATCGCCCCAATATTGCCGGAAAAAAAATTCACCTTCAATATGTAAAAAAATTGGAACCGGGTTCACGTCAACTCTTCAAGTTCTTGTCACCACCGTGCCTTTCGCCGGATTTACGATCGCCGGAGACCAAAATTAGCAAGAAAAAAAAAACACTGAAAATCGGACATGAAGGTGACGGGAGAAGAGGAATGAGGGAGTGGATTGTGGAAGAAGATTAGAAGAAATTACTATTTAACTAATATAATAATTGGATAAAATAAGTTGGTAGATGGTGATGTGATGTGTGTATTTTATTTATCATTTTTTTTAAACATAGGGAGTTCATTGTAAGATATTTAGTGTAATAGAGAGTGAAAAGGAAATTTTTTTGTGTGGGGACTGAAAAAGAATATGTAAAAGGGTTTAGGTACTTTGTAGGAAAAGCCCCTATTATTTTTCTGAGATTTACGCCCAAAGGTCCCAACATCTTGAACTCCTCTAAATGCAGTGTGGTGGTTAAAGGGGTAGCGCACCAGAAAAACGAAAATGAAGAGGTTTTTCAAGCCAATAGAGAAGGATGGCTCTTCTAAGAAACCTAACCTCTCTTCCTCTTTACCACTAAACGACTGCCCAAAAGTAACTAATGGTGCTTCTGTTGCTGCAAGTGAAGAGAACAGCGGCGCCGTAAAAGAGGAGCCTTTGAAATTCTTGTCATGGAATGCAAATAGTTTACTGCTGAGAATCAAGAACAACTGGACCGAGTTTTCCAAGTTTGTAGAAAATCTCGATCCTGATGTCATTGCATTGCAGGTATTTGCTGCATTTACCAGCAGTGTCTTTGTTTTGTATGTTACCCGGACTCTTCTATTTAGGAAGAATACCCCGGGTCATGTTGTATCGACACTGGTGTGGGTTTGAGTGTCGGGTGTGGCATTTTAGCCTAAAATGTTCAAGATTTCTAAACTATTGACGAGTCGGACGCTCATATCTCCACACCCGATACGCCACCCATATCCGAGTCCAGGTAGCATAGGTTTTGTGTTTAAGTGTAATTGGGCTCTTTGGACTTGATAGATTGATTATTGATTGCTGGCCCTGTTAGCGTTCTTCCTTTTTTTTTTTTT